TGCCTCAGCCTCCCAAGTAGCTGGGACTACAGGCGCCGGCCACAACGCCTGGCCATTTTTTGGTTGCAGCCATCATTGTTGTTTGGCGGGCCCGGGCTGCAGATTCGAACCCGCCACCTTAGGTGTATGTGGCTGGCGCTTTAGCCGCTTGAGCCACAGGTGCCGAGCCCTGATCTTGTACTCTTGTGTGTACTATGATGGTTGCCTTTTTTTTTTTTTTTTAAGAGATAGAGTCACACTTGGTAGAGTGCCATGGTGTCAGAGCTCATAGCAACCTCCAGCTCTTGGGCTTAGGTGATTCTCTTGCCTCAGCCTCCTGAGTAGCTGGGACTACAGGTGCCCGTCACAACACCTGGCTATTTTGTTGTAATTGTCATTGCTGTTTGGCAGGCCCAGGCTGGATTCGAACCTGCCAGCTCCAGTGTATGTGGCTGGCATCCTGGCCACTGAGCTATAGATGTTGAGCCAATAAAACAATCTTATTCCTGGAGCCCTAAGCAATGTCCCAGAAGAACCGAAATCCTTCAAGCCGAATGAGTGCAATTTCCTGTAGACTCTGAGTCAGACTTCAACCTCGCACATCCTTCCTGGACTTCATACTTCTACTACCTCCCTGAAAATCCCCAGATTTTTGTCTCCATAATTACCTACAGCTACCATCAAGTCTTGGTCACAGCTAGAGACTGAGATTTTAGATTTCTTTTTCCCCAGCCCTAAGCAACCCCCTTTCCTTCCCATAGTTGGAGACCTGAATAGGTTTTTTCTTTTTGTCTTTCTCTTCCTCCTCATCACTGGATTCTTCACTGCTGCTGCTCTCTGATGCTTTAGTCACAGCCTTTGCAGGATACTGAGGCAAACTGGCCCGCTTCGCAGGTACAGCTGAAAGAAAAGCACAAGTCCCATTAAGAATCAGCCATGTGACAGAGGCAGGCTAAAAATTCTTTTCCTGGAGCCACCAAGCCCATCCCCTGCCTATTTTACCAGCCTTCTTAGCTGGAGGCCCTTGAGGTTGTTCCTCCTCACTGCTGTCCTCACTGCTGTCACTGGATGAGGTCTTCTTCTTAGCTTTCTTAGTCACTGGCCCATTTGCCTGTAACTTCCTCTTTGGTGCCTTGGCAGACCTGCTAAGGCATATTAGGCTAATGTGTGGGAAATTGGGACATTCTCAAACCAAGGAACATAGCATGGACCAGCCCACCTGGGGGGAGAAAATAGGCAAAGTGAAACAAAGAATGCTTACTTGAGCCAGAAGCTATAGATGTCCAAGAGGGAAGAGGCGTTGGCATCTTGCTGTGTCTATAGAAGAAAGCACTAAGTAAGGACATTTTATCCTAGTTATTCCAGGAAAAAATCAGATTTTGTTATTCATTCATTAAATATGACCGGTTTGGTACATAACTACTAAATTTGGTATAAATGTTTCATCTTTGTAAGACTTTTCCTACTAGCAGAAATCAGGACAAAAATATTCTACTTGTGTATTTCCCAATTTTTGGTAGCAAAAATGTGGGCTCTTCCTGTAATTGGTGGCACTATCTAATCCAGGGGTCTTCAAACTCTTTTTTTGACCTTTTTTTTTTGGCTGGGGCTGGGTTTGAACCCACCACCTCCAGCATATGGGGCCGACGGCCTACTCCTTTGAGCCACAGGTGCCGCCCGGTCCTCAAACTTTTTAAACAGGAGGCCAGTTCACTGTCCCTCAGACCACTGGAGGGCCGGTCTGTGGGCCCTGGGACGAGTCGGCTGCTAAGCAGGACAGGCAGCAGCAGCAAAAACACCAGGCGGGCCGGACATATATCCTAGGCAGGTGGCATGATCTAATCCCTTGACTACCAATTTTTATTCATCAAAGCCTCAAAAAAAAATTCATTCGCAGGCCAGGCGAAGTGGCCCATGCTGGTAATCCCAACACCCTGGGAGGCCAAGGTAGGTGGATAGGCTAAGCTCAGGAGTTCAAGACGAGCCTGAAGAACACCAAGACCCCGTCTCTTTTTTTTTTTTGAGACGGAGCCTCAAGCTATCCCCCTGGGTAGAGTGTCATGGCATCACAGCTCACAGCAACCTCCAATTCCTGGGCTCAAGCGAGTCTCCTACCTCAGCCTCCCAAGTAGCTGGGACTA